CCCAAAGTCTGGGCCTCCCCAACATCTCTGGGAGGCAATCCTGAGAATGAGGCTGAGGGTCGGGGTGGCTAGTTTTGGCAGAGGCATCCTCTGCCTGTTCAAAGTGGACCTTCTTATCAAGGTGGTTCCAGAAACAGGGTAATCCCTGCCACTCCTGCCCTCTGCACATGTGCAGAGACTCCTGACAGAGAGCCAGCTTTGTGCTCTGTTGCAGATGAGGCTTGGGAGAGGAGCCTCCCCAGGGCCAGAGCCAGCTCTGGGGGGGCCTTCCCTGCCTTTGCCCCACCGGGCACAGCCCCTCATTCTCCGGCTGGGAGGGTGGCAATGGCTGCCAGCCCTTTCGGAGGGGGCACAGGGGGACACCCAGCAAGGGGGAGCCCTCTCTGTGTGTGAGGCCAACAGCTGGGGGGGGCTGGCTACTGGCTACTGAGACGCCTGCCGGGGCATTTGCCCCCGCTGCTCCCTTTGTAGCCCAGCCTCTCTTCTCCATAGCCAGCCTCTTTCTTTTGGGGTCCCCCACTGGACTCCTTGCAGAGCTGTAGGAAGGGGCTTCCTTCTCTCTCTCTCTCTCTCTCTCTTGCCTTGGAAAGAGAGAGCAAAACTGTATGTAGTTTGTACTCTTTCTCTTAAATGGCTCAGTCATGATGACTGATAAGTCCGGCATTAACGGTTCTAGAGCCTTTCGGTAATGAATCTGTAACAATTGACACTGGTTCCTGCCTTCTTTCTTTAATAATAAGTGCGTGATTCGCTCGCAGGCCAGGAGCAATTGATCCTGTTGATGCATATTGTATCCTCCTGTATACGTATTATGTATTCTCTTTTAAGAGGTCCATTGCGTGGCCGGAAGGTGAGGCTTTCCTGGGGATGATGGCAGAGGGAAGGGCCAGGAGTGACCGCAAGGCGCCGCCGTGCCCCGGGGTCTTCCCTCCGCCATCGTCCGAGGGGACAGATCCGCCGCGCTTAGCACCGTGTGCTGCAGAGACCACCGGACCGGTAAGAAAAATGTAGAACCGCGTGTGCCTAGTTAAGGATGTATGATGCATCACGCAGCTGTGGTGTTTTCATATTAGTAAGCAAAATGCTTTTTAATGATAAGTAGTAGTTTAATCTTAAATAACTTTTGCACATTTTGTACCTCGGAGGAGACAAAGGTTTGTAATGGAATGGTATATTTTTGACAAGACGTTCCCTTGGTGGTGCTGGTTTTCCACTATGCTGTCCTGATCAGATTGGCTCTCCTAGAACTAGAAGCTAACTTTCTAAAAAGAAAAATTAGTTGGAATGTTTCACTCCTTGGAACGTGCTAAGTGCATGTGCAAAATTAATAGTAATGATAATTTTTTTTAAAAAAATCTCTTTATAAAGCAGTAACTGGCTGTTTTGCACAAATAAAACGCTCTGTTTGCTCATGTTGCTCGCTGTCTCTGTGTCCTTTTAATTTTCAGGAGCAACTACCACTAGGAGGTCAAGGCCCCTGGGAGGAGAGGCCAGGATCCGGCAGAGGGGCGGGGGGGTAGGCTGAAGCTCAGTCGGCGCCCTGTATGCGGATCATACCTTTAGGACAGTGACCGTTCCCCACCCCCCAATTCCCCTGGAGAGAGCCCACCCCAAGGAGGAATGGGTTAGTCATAACAAGAACAACAAAAGTGACTTAGTTTTGGCCAGGATGTGAATTAAAAAGTAAGGGGGAAGGGTATTTTTGTATCAAGAGGGCTGGTTTTTCTTTGCCATGGTTCAGGGGAATTGTCCGTGTAAGAAGTGCCTGCAGTTTTCTCTGGGTCTGCAGCCAAGTTTACTGCTGGCCAGCACCAAGCGTGTGAGCCAAAGGATTTCAACTTTGACATTTCGTCCGTTTGGAGTGTTTATATCTTGCTTTTCCATCCGCCCAGAGCTCTTGTGTAAAATCTCAGCAATGTATTTTTCTAATCTGGAAAAGACCAGGGGCCGTAGGCGTCTTCTCTCCCACGGAAAAGCGAATGGCTTTTGTTTGCTGGGGATGGGAGAGGGCTTTGGGTACAGAGTTCAGGGCCCAGCTTCCCTCTCACCTGGAGAGCTCACAGTCTCTGCCTTGATCGCAGGTAGGACACAGGAGGCGTCAGGATCGCCCAATGTCAGGCCGGCAGCTGCTCACCTGAAGGATTAAAACCAGCACTTTGTTTGTTGCTGGAGCTCTTGCTAAAAGAAATCAGTTGGCTCTTTCTTTGAAAACTATGGCAGTTCCTCCACGTGTGAAGTTGTCCCATGCTTTCTAGTAGTTTCAGCATAAGGTGACCTTCCTGTCAAGATTTCTTCAGAGGAAGTTTGCCATGGCCTTCCTCTTGAGGCTGAGAGAGAGTGACTTGCCCAAGGTTTCCACGGTGGACACTCAAAATCCCAGCGCCATGATAGCTCTCCTATGCTGAAGTACACACTGAGCTTCATTTGCTCTCCTTCGGCAGAACTTTGATCCATCCAGCTCAGAGCTGGAAATCTGATGGCCCAGCTGATTCTATTGGATTGCAACTCCCAGAAGCCCCAGCACAGTCAATGGGCGTTGCAGTCCAATGACATTTGGAGGGCCGCAGAGATTCTAGCCCCTGAGCTGAAGCAGCCGTGGGTTTCGAACAGGATTCTTGCCATCCCTACCTGGGAAGAACTCCACGAGGGAATCGGACCCAGAACCTCCTGCATGCAAAGCAGGTGCTCTCCCACCAAGCTCTCCTTCCCCAGTCCTGGCATTTGGGTTGCTCTCTAGGGAAGCAGCCTCCATCCCGAGGGTCAGGGGTGTTGGGGTGGCTCTCTGCCACCTCGACAGAGGAGAACCCGTGGCCCCATTGGGGCGGCATCCGTGGGGCCGTGGGCCATTGCTGGGCACTGCTTCCTGGGCCCCACAGAGCAGCTCCTCCTGCCCTTCCCGGGGGCTGAACTTTCCCTCGCACCCAGCCGGTTCCTTCCAGGGGTTTTCCCGGCACCAGAAGCAACATCCTGGAGGCAGGCGGGTGCAGGCGTGCCCTGTGCATGTGCATGTGTGCGTTGCGCGATGAGTGTTGTGTGTTGTGTGGGTGGGAGGCAGGGCAAGGCTTGCTGGGGCTGGTTTCGGGCACAGGCGGAGGAGGGTGCAGCTGGTGACCTGGGCTGGCATGGTGGAGCTGGGAGCAGAAGCAAGCACGGCCAGAAGAGGGGAGCCCCAATAACACAACAAAACCCTGCAAAGGCCCCCTGCCCACCTCCAAAGAGCAAGCCTCACACAAAGGGAGAAGGAGGCAGGAGGGAGGGAGGGAGAAAGCAAGGGGCCTCTGGCTAGGAGGGGGGGGGGGCTGGTGCCAGCAAGGAGAAGGAGGTTGCCTTTGCAAAACCCTCAGCATGCCCTCTCCCTTGGAAAACATGGCCAGGTGCCCTTCCCTCCCCGGAAAGAGATGGGGAGAGAGGCCTCCTGGCCAAGGTGAGATGGAAGGGGAATTCCCACATCTGGGCTCAGCTTAAAGGTTAACAGACAGAGGCAGAGGGAGGCAGGGAAGAATGGGAAGAAGCAGGATGGGACCCAGCCCTCGCTGGCTGGCTGGCTGGCACTTTGGGGTGAGGCAGAAACCCTCCAGGAAACCTTAATAATGCCCCGGTATCTGAGTAGCAACCTCCGTTGTGGCAGGAGCCACGGCTCAGTTTGGTAGATGGTTATACTTTACTGTCAAAAGTATTGTTTTGTCACAAATTCCTGCAAGCTGTTCTCTTTGACTTTCCTGATCCCACTCGGCCCACGAAGAAGCCCTTTGGAGGTGGAACTTGGTGGGTCTTTTGGCAATTGCGCCTCGCTCTCTCTCCGATGTGGGTGTCCTGGGAGGCTTTCTGTGGTTGGCCTCGGGTTCAGCAGTGACCATAGAGTGAGCTGGACATGGGATATTTTAACGGCTGGGGACTCAAAGAAATGAATGCTACCCAAAAACTGGCCTTTGCAACCTGGAAACACCCCAACAAAAGCATTTCTCAGGTCCTGGAGATGTCTTCCCCTCCACAGCCTCTTGTCACCATTGCCTTCCTCTGGTCTTGAGAGAGTGTGACTTTTCCAGCAGCAGATGGCTGCTCTGTGGGCAGCTCTCTCTCTCTCTCTCTCTCTCTTTGGTCTTGGCCAGGACAGGGCAGGTGGCTGGACAGGGCTTCCGAAGGGTAGGGGAGGAGAGAGGGACCATTTGCCCCTGGGGCAGGCAGGACTTGAACTCCAGACTCTTGGCTTCCCATTGAGTGGCCTTTCCCCTGCTGCCTTTGGCTCCCCCTGTCGCCTGTCTCGGTCACTGCACCCTGTGCCACAAGGCAAGGGTTCTCAGCCCCACTCCTGCCACACTCCTGGAGGACCAGTAGAGCCCAAACACCATGGATTCCCTGATTTGAGTCTGTGCGGTTTATTAACCTGATCGGCCCACCTGTCCAAGGCCAGGGTTTGAGGCAGGAAAGCCAGGTCTCCCACCGCCGCAACTCCATCCAAAACCACGGAGTGCTCTGTCCAGCCTCATAATGGCAGTCACTCTTTCTCAGCCCAGCTGGGTCCAAGGCCCCGCTCTGCAAAAAGCAGGAAGATAGAAAACTTTGGAAGGGAGGGATAGTAACACCCATTTCCAAAAAATGCTACAAAGGGAAACTGGAGGAAGTGAAAAGGGACGGTGTTGCTGAACCACGAAATGCCCTTCATGGACACATGCCCCTCCGTGGCCACCATCCTGACCTGCTAAGTAGCCTCCACTGACCCCTGCCAGCCACCTTTCTCTGCTGTGCTGCCCAAAACTTCTCTGCCCCCATTAGCGGCAGTTTCCCTCCTCTTTGGGCGACATGGGGCCTGTCCATACTACATGCAGGGGCATCACGACAGCAACAGGCAGCCCCTGGCCTGGGTTAGGGTCTCTTGCCCCCAACTCACTAGCTGGGGGGCCTGGCTGCTCCTCGTCCTCCTCGTCCTCCTGGCCCCAGGGCCTGGGCAGGGTCTCCCAGGGGGCTCCGCTCTGCCCTTCCAGGTCTGGTGGCCACAGCGTTTGCTCCTGCCTTTGCAACTGCAAGCCAAAAGAGAAAGAAATCCCCCAGGTGAGGGGAGAGGCACATGGGGGTGAAGGAGGAGAACTAGGCTGGGGGGCCACCATGACACCCAAGGAGAGGCCATAGGAGAAGTGTCCATGGCTGTGGTCTCAGGGCTGGACCCCACCATCTTTCACAGCATGGCTTGCTGGGGGGGGCAAAGGAGAGGGGCTGAAATGCCCCCTCTGCTCTCAGGCCAAAGGGGCAGTGGGATGGAGGGTCTTCACATCTAGCCACCCCCATACGTGGATCCCACCTGCACAGCCAGCCCCTGCTGCTCCCGAAGCAGCTCCAGGTATCGGCTGCTCCAGAGGAGCCTCTCGGTCCGCAGCTCCTGGCTGAGGTGCCGCACGGTTGCCTCCAGGGCCGAGAGCTGCCCCAGGGCCACGTTGCTGGACGCCTGCAGCCGCTGGACCTGCTCCTCCAGACCCCTCTGGCCACCTGCGGACACTGAGAAAAGAAGCCGGGCTCAGCTGGGCGGGGGAGGCACTGCTTCTCCCTTGCCTTCCCAAACTAAAACCAGTTAAAATAGTTTAACGTGAATTAAAACCATTTCCATGTGAAGGTTTTTGCAAAATCAATTGGCTCCTCATAGCTTTTGCAAACAATTGCTTTGTGGTGAAATGATGGCAACGCAGGGGCCAGTCAGGCTTCCAAGGGTAGCGAGTGCCACTCCAGAGAAGGCCCTGATCCGACATCCCCACAATGTGTGGTCCTGACTGAGGGGACACCTAGGAGGGACCCCCCAGCAGACCTCGCATGGCAACCCACACACAGATGCCCCCACCCCACATCCCAGCACGTCTCCTTGGACCAACCTGCCTCCAGGGGCCACGCACTATCCGATGGGCAGAAGGGATTGTCCTCCTGGTGGCTCTGGCCGGCCTCCTCCAGCCATGAAGTCACCGAGGAGCAGCCCTGAAGCAGGAGAGATGCAAAAGGGGTGCAGTGGTCAAGCGGACAGGGGGTGGGGGGCGGAAGGTGGCCGAGCATCACACCTCAAAAATGAGCAGCTTAGAGCCCAGGAAGACCCCAGCCTCTCTTTGGTCTGGATGGGCAGGGAGGGGGCCCAAGCTGGACCCCTGGGGAGGCAAAGGCCCTCTGCACATGATCTGGGGCGCCTTGTTGCTTCAAGGCTGAGCTGTTGGTGGGAGCTGCAAAGGAAGGTCCTCATCCCTGGCAGACAGAATGAGAGGCTGGGGCCTGCAATTCATGCGGACTCCTTCCTCCAACACACAGACGCACACAAGCACAATTTGCTGACCTTCATGAACTTACCACACTTTGCACTCCTGACACACTTCCATTCCCTCCCTCCCTCCCTCCCTCTCTATCTTATACACTCACAGGGAGAGGAAAAGTGAGAGAGACCCCTCTTGTGCCCCCCCCCCCACACACACACACCAAGAGCCAAGAGTGCATTATTATTATTATTATTATTATTATTATTATTATTATTATTATTATTATTATTATTACTGCATTGTCATTTGGAGGAGGAAGGGAGTCTTGGTCCCCTGCGCAATTCGAGGCGCTTACTTACCTCCTGCGCCAGGCGGAAGACAACTTCCCAGCAAAGCTTGTAAAAGAACAAGGCAGCCTAGAGAGGTTTTGGAAAATGAGAGTTAGCCCTGAGTCCAGGACGGTCAGCAAGCGCATGGGCATGCATATTTGCACACTCAAGACGTGGGTCCGTTTCACAACACTGTGGAGTCCTTGGGCTTTGATATCTCCTGGGAACTGTCCCTCAGCAGATGGAGGAGGAGGAGGAGGAGGAGGAAGCAGCTTCCACAGGCACAACAACCCTTTGGGTTCGCGGAAATGGTTATCTTATTCACCTGTTTGAATTGCTGCCTCCCAGGGGTCCTCTGTTTCCCATGGAGGCCTCATTGGATGGAGGTTGTGCGTTTGTGGCAATGAATGTGGGGAGATTCACAGGCATATTGAATTGGGCAAGGGCCATCCCAAATCATCTTCTGCCATCTCACATTTTCAGCTCTTTTAAAATGTCCCAGCTTCTCTCCTCCTCCCACTTTAACTGACTGCCATTGCTGCAGAGACTGAGATCAAACTTTGCACTTGGTTAAGTCATCGGTGGGAGGAGGAAAGAACGGCTGAATCTTCCTCTTCCCAGCCGGCTCAGGCAAAAGCAAGCCACTGCAGCCTCTCCCGGCTTGTGTTCTCTTCCTTTTGCCTCCTTGGGCACCCTCCCTCTCCTGGCTTTTGTCTGTGCAGCCTTGGAGGGGATTCCACAAAGGGAACATTCAGAAGCAGGCCAGCTTTTCATTCCCTCGCTCAACCTGCATTCTCCCAAAGTGGCACAGGAAGAGATGGGGATGCTTTGGTGTGCTTTTGGGCCTTTTCTCTGCAAAGGAGCCCTGGCACAATCCCTCCTGTCCCTCAGAGTCAGTCCAAGCCCTTTGGGGGTCATTTTGAGAAGAGAAGAGGGGGCCTGAGTGAGGACACTGGGCTTGGACTGTTTCGGGGTGGGGGTCATACCAACCCAGACCGCCTGCCAGAGGAAGAGGATCCCATCCAGGACTTTGGGCACAAGCCTCCAAAACACTCGGCCGCAGCTTCGGGGGCTCAGTAGCCTCAGGAGGGGGTCCGCTGGCCGCCTTTGCCTTTG